TATCTTACTAGACTGTCCTTCCTCTATTGAAGTACTTCCATGTTCCTGAGATTCATTCAAAGTGTTGGTTTTTGTTCCTTTATCTTTATTATTATTACACTTTACTCCTCCATCTCCCTACACACACATATAGTAAAATAATGATGATGAGGAGTGTTTCTGATGTTAATTACTTTAATATCACGTTCCAAATCTGATGATAGTAATGTTAGATTTTCAAAAATAATATCTAAATTGATAATAAGTATATAAATAATGTAAAACTAGTGACAGTGAATGATCACACCTTTTTGTTGATCATCATTGGACTCACTGATCTGTGTGGGTGAGTAATTAGTAGCTGGTTTGTTCTCTTGAATTAATAGTGTTATTATGCATAAAGAATAATATGCATGTCATAGTATGTGCCTGCCACTTACTAGTATCATCATCATCATTATCATCATCATTATCCTCTTCCAAGTCTACAAGTCTAAGTGAAGTCTAGATTATAGGGGTAAAATAAAAATAATGTCATTTAACATAATTATTTTACACCTCCAATTGGAGCTGTTTTTCTTGTGGCAAATGTTTTGCCTTTTCTTTAAACCACAGTGACTCATTAATGGTTAGGGAGCGAGGGCGTCTTTCCATTTTGCAGTGAACAGGATCAGAGCATGTCTGTTTCTCAGCATCAATGTCTTTAATGTAATGGACTTCCTTTGAACGTCTGCATTGGCACACATATTGTACTTTTCTTGATGATCGATCATGGTAAAGAATCAGAGTTTCTTCTACTTTTTGGCAACAATCATTTAGTAACTTCAATATTTCTTGACAAACTATTTCGAAAGGAACAGGATGAAGATCCTCAGGGACATATCTCAACACATCAAATTGAATAGCATCATTAATATCAGTGAGAAATAAATCATCAGAAGGACGACCATAAGAGAAGCAGACACGATTACGATAGATACTTTTTGTCTCAACTTTAGAGCATAAATTCACGGCAGTAGCTAATCGATCAATGAAACCAGTAGCAGGTGCTGCATAAACATCATCAAAATTGAGCTTAACATTATCATCAGTAGCAACAGTTGTTGCTAAACGAGTGAAGAAGCCAGGAGGTACGTATCCATGGCTAGTTGAGAATGTAATGTGTATAGGTGAGGCTCTTAGTTTATAACCAGGTAGTACTTCATTAGGGTCACCTGTGTATCCTTGTAGCACTGCTGGAAGAAAATACTGCTTGAATCTGCTATCATAAAGCTCAGTTTGAACTTGAGCTGCAAGACGAAAATGAACTAAAAGTTCAATTATTTTTTCTGGATCAATGCCACTTGACTGCCATACTTCTTGATAGAGTGGTTGAACAAGAATACCATTATTTCGCAACAAATACCATCTATTTGTTCCACTCCATCCTTTTTCTAGTGCAAACACCTTCCCAATGGTATCAACAAACCATTTTGGACTGAGAATGACTTTATTCTTCAGACCTTCTATTTGAGGATAGTAAAGCACAGCTCCCAGCTCATGGTAGAATTTCAATACTTCAGGAACATCAGCTGCTGATATATGACATGCTGCTCCAATGGCAATAGTATCAGATACACTAATGACATTCAGCTTTAGCTCTTGAAGAACCTTGCGAAAGAGAACCCAATTGACAGGGGTTTTGACAGCCAATCTATTGATAAAACTATCAATTGCTCCACGTAAATCTGTAATGCTTGGATCTTCTTTGACTCCTTTGCCCGAGGTCGTATTATCAATGATCAGTACATCTTTAATAAGATCTGAGAACTCTTTCTCCTCATACAGGGACTGGATTTGCTTCTTTGCTTGTTCTTTCTTCTTTTTTCGCTTCAGCTTGTCACCACGAGTGCCAATACAGTAGAGACTAGGAGAAGAAGTATCATCTTTGTTGTGCTTCACGAGGTAACTGTGTATTGTGGACATCCATTTTATCATTAGATCACTTGTGCTTTCATTCACCACCTCACCAAACAGCACTTTACCATCAGGAGTATTCTGATGTGACTGCCATCTTTCTCTGAAATCCTTTGAAGCATCAAACAGGAGGAGAAACATTGTACGAGGAGTGAGGAAGGCTGGGAGAATCTCAAGGAACACTGGCTGACCACCACAATCCCATATATGAAGAAATGGCTACAGATTGGTATATTATATCATAATGCTAAAAGTAAGTAAACATATGACTCACTTGAACAAGTAATTCTGTTTTCTGATCAGTGGAACTAGCTCTTTCAAATATTGATTTGATACGAATCTCTACATTCAAATCAGAAGCTATTGAACCAGTTGAAACTAATGCATTGGATTCATCATGAGAATATTGGGCACTCAATACAGATGCATGGTCTGAGGATGATCTAGAATTAAACAAATGAGCAATTTCTTCAAGTTCATCTTTTTCTGTGGCTTCTCTCCATTTGTTTTCTCTCATTGTTTGCCACTTGTGTCCAAATGGTCGTACGGAGGATACATCAGATACAATGGTGCTTGTAGTACGACGTTTGAAAGGTTCTTCCATTAATGAATGCTTGAGAGACGTCTTGCCAGTACCAGCTGATCCCAGTAACATAAGACGAGCATACGCTACATCAGCACTTCCTTGTTCCTTGAGAGCTCTCTCATAGGCACCTATTGATACATGTACATATACATGCATATACTTATAAATAAATATAAGAATAATATCAAAACTTTCTGAAATGTTGTCAGCAGTCAACATACATATACAGTACATTACTTGTATCCTGAAAAATTATGACATCAGGATTTTTGGATAAAAAACACATCGTAATGGTATCATAGAAGAAAAGAATAAAATTACACATTTACATGTGATGTAACTTACAATCTGAAAATATGAATGACACAGTTTAGTAAAATTAGTATCATAGAAGAAAAGAATAAAATTACACATTAACATGTGACGTGACTTACTCTCTGAAAGATGTGAATAACACAGTTTAGTAAAGTATCACAATGGTATCATAGAAGAAAAGAATAAAATTACACATTCACATGTGATGTGACTTACTGGCTGAAAGATTGTGAATAACAGTTTAGTAAAGTATCACAATGGTATCATAGAAGAAAAGAATAAAATTACACATTCACATGTGACATGATCGACTTACTGGCTGAAAGATTGTGAATAACACAGTTTAGTAAAGTATCACAATGGTATCATAGAAGAAAAGAATAAAATTACATATTCACATCTGACGTAACTTACTTCCTGAAAGATTGTGAATAACACAGTTTAGTATCACAATGGTATCATAGAAGAAAAGAATAAAATTACACATTCACATGCAGGGGCGTATCTAAGCTCTGAGAGTTGGCTGGGCACGTAGAAAAAATATGCGGCGTGCGAAGCGCGCTGCGAAAATTTTTTAGAGGTAATTAATATTCATGATGGGCGTGGTCAATTAAATACTACGATTATTACTTTAATTAAGCTAAGATGTGCACTTCAGTGCTTATATTTTCTTCATTAGTAGTAGTACTGGCCTTGGGAAGACATTCAAACAGACTCAGCAGAGTTTCTTAGCCATTTTCAACTAGATTACTTTAATAATTATCGTGAATAGTCTAATAACTGATTGGTTAGTAGTAGTTATTATTTTAAAAATGGCAGCCCAATTGCCCAAATGGAGCTATGGAAGTCTCTACCATGTCATCATTATATTTACACTGGCTAAAACTATTAGCTATGCTAATCTTGTCTCATTGCTATCATAATAAAGTGAGCAATATTTTTAAAAGGACTAATATACAAAAGAAAAAAATTTTTTGGTCTGCTGAGTTGATCGGGCACAGGCCCACCCAGGCCCACCCTTAGATACGCCCCTGTTCACATGTGATGTGACTTACTTCCTAAAAGATGGTGAATAACACAGTTTAGTAAAGTATCACAATGGTATCATAGAAGAAAAGAATAAAATTACACATTCACATGTGATGTGACTTACTATCTGAAAGATTGTGAATAACACAGTTTTGTAAAAAATCACAATGGTATCACAGAAGAAAAGAATAAAATTACACATTCACATGTGATGCGACTTACTTCCTAAAAGATGG